CCATTCTTGGGACTCATCAGGTAGGCGCATTCCCCCAGTTTTCGTCAACCTTATGTTCTACTTGAACCCAAATTGGACTGTTTTTGGAGAAGTACACTCAGCTGCAAATCAATTTGGTCTTCACAAGAGACTCAACTTAAGGGCGAAACCGGTCGTGGCTATCGAAGAGTTTTTAGCAACCTTATGAGTAATTTCCTTTATAAAAATATACTGCGATATCTCAAATATCGTGCCAACTGAAACATGAAGTGGCCTAATGCAGCACATTCATTTTTAGAATACCATAAAGAAGAGATTCAGTTGTATTTCGTCTTATCTGTACCAGACTTTAGCGTGAGAGCATCGTGAGAGAAACTCATACATTTACTCTATTGGAATCGCAATATTTGTCCATAGGATTTATACACAGAAAGAGAGCAATAAAGTGTCTGTTTAGGCGATTGTTCCTTTCAAATTTCCCCATTAAGGGGTAATAAAGCAGACTTTTTTACGTAGATTTTTTCAGAGATCTTGGGGAATGCTCAGTCAGTCGACCAATTTCAGCTATGTTGGCGTTTCATTTTTGACATTTGAAGTCATTGGCAACACCCTGTCGATGTCAAGACATTCTTGCACTGTGTGACTTGTAATCTCCAGCAGACGTTAATTTTATCCTGTCACCCGTTAACATCGACCCACATCACCCGTGACACAAATCCGGTTGATTTCACCATAAAGTATGCATTGTTCTGCAATAGTATGCCACTTAATTTTCTGTACTGTTGCTAAAGTATTTCACTGTGACTTTGGATACTGGACGCGTCTAGACTCTGACCATTCAGGAGGGAGTTTCAACCTCTCTATTGTATCGACTATTTAGCCCGTCAGATTTAAATTTGTTCACAGGAACAGATGGCGTGTCCCCTCGACAAGGTAGAACAAAAACTGCACTGTCGAGAAAGTCGAAATCGACTTCTTGAACTGGGTGAGGAAGAACAATTTTTGTCGTTGTCTGTGATCGTAAGTTAACTGAGCTATCGTAATTTCACTTCTTATCATCTGCACATTTTTGAAAGAAAATTGACGTTGTACTGAGAATGGACTTTAGTCAGAAAGGCCTAAGACATTTTGTGTAAAACAAACTTTGTCTACTTATATTACATGACATATTACATGATGACAGTATTTCATGTGGGTGAACCTTTCCTTGCAAACTTTGTCTACTTATATTACTGGCTATGATGACAGTATTTCATATAGGTGAACCTTTCCTCGTTTGCTTAGCCGATCCAATATTGATGATGGGGGCATACAAGTAGCATGTTTTCTCGTAAATCCGATTCGTGTCTCTTGAAAAGTGAGATCTATTAGGGAGTTTGTGGAGTCACTTTTGCTTCCATTTGAGCAGCAGTTAATAAATATCCAAGGGGACGCGTTCAAGGAGAAGATGGATATTCAGTTTATGTAAACAAGATGCATATGAGAGTTTTGCTCCCCTGTCCAATAGTCTGTAACTATTCAGTCAGCATTTTCTGATAAATAACCCCGCAGCGAAGGCCTCCCTCCCTTTAAAGGTGACTGTGGTGACTAAAATGATTACTTATTCTTTTCTTTAACTGCATGGTTGTTCAGATCAATACGGTTATCAAATAAAATAAGCGATAGTTGCAGCTAGACTTGTTTTTTTCACAAGGGTCGATCAAGATGAGCGCATGGTTTCATGGGCTCGGCGAGGGCAAGAGTTATAGAAGACCCCAATTCTCTTAGATGTCTTAATCCATTGGAACGCGGAAACTGAGCTGCACACGATCAACAAAAAATTGATCCGTTATTGTCTACTGGACGCGTTCAGTCTTACTTGATGTATAAAAGATGTTAACTTTTAGGTAAGACTTCATCCGCTTGGTAGGCGCTGGGTGCGAATTAATTTCTGGGCAACTTCCGGGCTAGATATCACCCAATAGCTGCAGTTGAAACCAGTCGACTGCCATACTGCCATTCGCTCTATGGGATTAGGAGTCTCATCGAAAATACTAGTTTTATGTATTTATTCCTGTATCATTAACTCTAATATATGATCTACTAATCTTTAATTATTGTTTTTTCATCACTATTGTGACGAGCATATTAGTATTTATTATGTATTTACTTCTGTATTTCTCCAGTTATGAATGATTGATTGCTGACAGGTCGTTTTACAGGTCAACCATTTCTCGCCGAATAACTGAACATCCCGTCGAGGAGAAGGTTGACAAAATTATGAGATAGCAACAACTGTCAAACACTAGAACAACACGTCCAACATGTTCACAGTTTCTTGCACGTTACTAAAATAAGTCATCAGGCTCCCAAAGATAAGCATTGACCGTATGAGTCGCTGAGTAATTTTCTGGCTAGATCAACATAAAGTTCAAACAGATGACTTTATCTCCAAACTGTTTTCACCAGATGACTAAATTAGTCTAAGAACATGGTGATGGGATGTGACTGATAGTTAAAATATTGCGCGCGCAATTACTCTATTCCCGGATAATGACTCGCAGTTCACTCAGAAGTTGTCTTATGTGTAAGATTTCTCAGATCGGAACTCACATGTGCCATACAGTTCAATGCAATACGTTCAGTGCGATAACGCCTAGAATTACGTGAGTACAGTTCACAGCTGTACAGGTAAGGAGGACAGATGCAAGCTGATGGTCAACAAGTTGAGGTTTGCGACCCCATTGAGTAACCAAATCTATCCTGCTCCACGCAGTTGATCGTCAGAACTGCTGAGATGCGGCTGAACAATACCAAGTGTGAAATATGAAACTGGAGTTTGACAGCAAACTTCTGCCTGCGGTCTCTTGACGGCTACGTGATGATATAGGACCTCTATGCTAGGCTCTTCATCAGATTTTTTAATGTGTCAACTTGATGACATCTAAAGATAGACACTTTAGTTCATTACCTAATGGGTCGTAAAAATACCCGTCATTGTGCTAAATCTTTGTCAAAGTAATTGTTTCCCCAATAATGAGGGAGCATACAGGTTAATGTAGATGGGTAATTATCCCGATTGACCTCGTAACACGCCTAATATTTTGCTTGCAACTTAGGGTCTAGACATAAATGCATCCAAAATGCATCCGCAACTGGTTCATCGATTCTAAGCCGATGTGGATTTTGATGCGTTGTGTTGGAACCACCAGACAACAAAGAGTCTTCTAGATCTGGGCTAAGCTGACACCACATGGTTAAACGGCTTCCACTGTGTTTGCGCTGAAAGATTTCAGCTTCTGGAAAACTCGCATAAGGTTTCTATTTCTCGCGGCTTTCTGTCTATAAGCAGTTGTCTATTTTCTCTCCAGGGGTCGCTGAATTTAACTCAGCTACGTGCATAAGTTTGCCAGTTTTTTTCAGTTTTTGCTGCGGTTACAATACTTTGTGTCATGGTGATCGTAAGTAGTTTACTCGAAGGTTATGAGTTTGCACACTGCTCAAATTGATCACTTTGTTTGCTGTCAATTCCATCCAGTTATCCGTTTATTTCTGCACATACTGGTGTTGATGATCAGAATAACTGGCTGGCAATCTGTTGACATTAGGTACCGATACCAGGTGAAATAAGTCTCTAAAAATTGTTATCGGTTCCTTAATTTGGGATAGCAAGCCTCAATTTATTAGCGCCAGTTATCAAAAATGGTTGAGAAGATATTGAGGACGCCATTTCTGTGGATTCTTGTGGTTACTATTGTATTTCGTAACATTCTGAGGAAATGACCTTCTGGTGCAGCCTTTTGTCTATCAAACGTTTAAACGTGTTGGTTTCATACCTCGTTTTGACCAGTAAGCCTCCTCTTTACATGAGGTTGATGCGTAGCGGAAATCCATGCAACATATTTGCTGAATAAATGTATCCTGCGCCTCAAATATGGGGGAGTTTTGTTCGTCCAAATTCAATTGTATTACTCTGGTATTGTGCAAGTCTGTCTGGGTGCGGAATCAAAATATTTGTTGTTGGATATGCGGGGAATGGGCCCAATTAGGCCCGGGGTTGATTTTCAACTTTCTGAGCTCCACCAGGTAAGCGTAGTCCCTTAGTTACACAACAGTTTGTTTGAACTTTTGTTGAACCTGTGTGCTGCACACTACGCGGGAGAATATCATCACGCTACTGACTATGAGGGATCAGTACAGTCCTTTGTTCCAAGCCCCACATTTTTCTTAACCAAACTCGGATTCGAGTGAGGCAAATATTCAGTAGTGCCTCGAAACGTACGTTGTATGCGGAAACCGCTTCTCTAATGAATAAAGTTAGGTAATAAACTGAATTTTGGTTGCCCAAAGCTGCTAAAAAATTAGTCGCAAGTACCAAACTGTCTGGATATTGAAATGAATTAGCTCCCTGATAAAAGGCATCAATTAGGCAATATTCTCTCCCCAGGACGCATGTTTACTAGCGGATTGTGGGTAGTATCTCGCAACACCGAAGCTAACTTTTTGCCAAGATCCTGCACTGTCGATGGCTTGACCGATACTGGTTTTACAATGGTAATTCCCAAAACAGGCCAAGTAGATGGCAAGCAAGTATAAAGGTTAGTATGGCAGGATCAAGGGTATACCTGAGAGAGATGGCTCATCTCAGTTCTTACTGATTCAAAATTACAAATTTATATCCTGCCTAGTAACACTTCTTCCAGAACAACGGTTTTGTTTTGTGGTACTTCTTACTTTTTGTCTGGAACTGAGAGATGATTGAATCTGAGCGAAATACAACTTTAGTTCTATGAGAGACTCATCTAGAACCAAACTGAAAACATCACAAACCAGATTCGTAAAACCAAATTTGTTTGCAAATAAGTGTATTTCGCTAATTTCGTGCAATTTGGTTTCACGTAGAACAAAAGGTTGACGGACACTCGGGGACTGCGTCTAACTGATGAGCCCAAATATGGACGAGGTCGGTTGTGGGCTGTCAAAGAATTTTCAGGGGTTGGTTGCGTGGATGGACTTATAAGTGTCATCCTGAATTTGGGCCAGTTTTGACCTTTAGGTTTAATGAGGTTTGAGGATTAGTAAATCATTTCAGTTACAAAATATTCAGAATCAAAGTATATAACGACGTGTGGCCAGACAGCTATGTGGTAACCAGACTAATTTTAGGTAAGCTAATTAGATAGTTACTACGCCAATGGGGAAATTTGGCAGTTCTCAACTAAAATTTCCTCGCCAAGTAGCCTAAAAACTTTGTACAACTATTTCACTTTATTGGGTTTTCCAGACTCTTCCAATCATTTGTAAATAGCCTAGACGTATAGTAAACTCACAAGCTGAGTGAAGCTTTCATCTGAATAGTCTTTAATCGAAGAGTCAATCAATACGTTTGACCACGTGATGTGAGTTTCGTGAATGAAGGATGAGTGCGAATGAGTCACACTACTGACCGACCGATCACGGCCGGACGGTTGTGTTCAAACTGGTGACCGGGAGATCACGGGCTCAAAACACCCTGGAGTCATTCGCATCAAATCTCCCTTCTTACTTCACCTCAAGTGAATGTACATCAGCTTTTTGTTTAGAACTCGTGTTTTTTTCAGTGTGCTTAGGTTTTCCTTACTCATCACCACTTGTGTTGGTGCTTCGCAAAATTTCCACTCAGCTTCCTGACAATTCCCTTTTTTGCATGCAACTTGAGGCAGCTTCCTTCTCATTCACCATAACAAGCAGGTACTCAGCAAGCATTCACCCGCACACATCACTTTTGTCCTGAGCAAAAATTACGGATCTCTATGTTCTGTGTTATGCGATGGTCAATTTTATGTCCATATCTGGTTATCCGGTGGGCTCACACAACAAGCCACACCTAGCCCCACAGTGAGTCACTTGGTCTGTCATTCGAGATCTCAGAAAAATCAAGTCAGCTACTTCCAGTGTGTCGGAAGGGTGGTACTAACAAGCTTTCCTGGTACATTGCTTGTTTGGAGTGCAAACTCTGCCACCAACAGGGGCATGTATTGCTGATGGGCTCTACTGAGAAGAGAATCTGAGTCCAGTTCCTTCCCCATTTGTTGGAGGCCCTTCAGATTAACTGTCTCACTACATGAGGTAGATTTCTCAGAGACGACTAACCTGAATGGGACAGATGAAGTGACAACGTTATAAAATCGACGTATTCTGAATGCGTCTCTGACCCGTAAACCTGCACCAGTAATTTCGATGTGTTAAAAGTAATGCGTTTGAAAAGGGAGTAGAGCATCCTGCTGCAGTCAGTGACTTATTTGTCAGGAATGTAGCTGATGCCTCTCCTACAACCTGTCTGATGTGCGATTCGGAAACTGCGGGGCACTTGTGAGACTAAACAGGTGCTGACTCAGTATTTACTCCGCACTGTTTTCAATAGTTTTTACTGCTTAGAATACTCCGAAAAAAAGGCAAACTTGTGGTTTGGTAATTTGTTGAAATATTGGTAGCTCCGGTGAGTTTATTGGTTGTTGATCAGGTGGCTGTTGATCTGTTCGCCGAGCTTGGCAATTGGCTTGCAAACGTTTCGTCACCATACGAGGAGACATCATCAGTGCGCAGTTGAGTGGGTACTTCTTCCTTGCCTG